AGACGTTTCCGTGGTCATGTGGCCGGCATGACTAAACACCAAGGCACACGGAACGCTGTTACCTTCCCACCGAAGTGGTACCTATTTATCTACTTGCAATTTCTTGCTTTCGAACTGCTAGGTTGGCAGGAGCTGGAACTAGAGACGGGAGCTCACCCCGTCTTGCGGCACCCGGGTCTAGAACTGCTGAACTACTGACCTTCCACAGCCTGCAGTTCAGCGTCTTAACCACTTGAGCCACCGCACCACCTTGTTATACCAGTCATAAAATCGTTTCCATGTCTTATCAAATGTGTAATTTGTAGATCCTTTCATCAATAGATTCAATTTATCACTTTCTGCTGTTTCCATCAGTTTGTTGATATATTCTTGTTTCTTTGGTACTTCAGTTGATTTCCAGTATTTGGCATGTAAAATTCTCGCTGTTGTAGTAAAATAAACCGTCAAGTATTTAATATGTTTATCAAGATCATTTGATAGTATACTCAAAAGCAGTACTTTCGGTGTAAATGGTATCGCACATCCTAAGATTTTTTGAATTATTTCATGGATCCATATCCAATATTTCTTAGTAATACAACAGCCAAGATCCATTATTCAATAACTCTAAGAATCATCTGTATATCATTAAAATGCGATTTTAATGCTAACCAATTCTCTATGTCTTTCGTAATTCAGTCTTTATATATCCAGTAACACAATCATTAACAGAAAACTTAGTGAGCCAAATAAGCAGCTTACAAGCCGCAGAATGTGTCTCACAGGCACTAATCAATTGATACACAATTTAACTGGCTGCCCAAAGTCACTCCAGCAAAATGTGCTCACAAGGCGCTAATCGATTTACGCACAGTTAAAGTGGGTGCACACAGGCACTTCAATAGGTCCACTGATTACATCCAGTCTAATGTGACATGAATTTGTAAGTTGTTCCAGAAATGGGGATCATAAATCTACGCTTTTAATTTCAAAAATAACTTGAAATTATTTTAGTCCATGCATCTTGTAACACTTGACTTGTATATTTAATCCCCCAGAAAGGAGGCTTTTCTAAAGTGAGGTTTGTTTCTATTCCTGTTCTGTCCCCCCCCCCTCCCCTTAGGCGGGAGAAGCAGCCAGCGTCTGTGGGAGAAGATGGAGCGGATGCGGATGTCAGTGCCGATCCCGAATCAGAAGAGGAAAGGGTGAGGCTCCGAGAAGGAGTGGGGTTGCCTTTGTTGCCCCTGAATGGAGGCAAAGCTGTTTGTTCTTTTATTATTTACCAACCTAATTTGTATCCCACCTTTCAGGCCTTATGAGGGCCCCCGAGGCGGCAAACATGTCTGAAACGCATATGGTAAAACTACATTCTAAAAGCATTAAAATCATCCCGGCAACATAAATCATTAAAACAATTAAAAGTACTGTGTCAGGGCTCGTTCTGTAGCAGGAATTCCTTTGCATATCAGGCGACACACCCCTAATGTAGCCAATTCTCCAAGAGTTTACGGTAGTCCCTGGAAGAAGAGCTCTGTAAGCTCTTAGAGGATTGGCTCCATTAGGGGTGTGTCGCCTAATATGCAAAGGAGTTCCTGCTTCAAAAAGAGACCTGGTTAAAATGCATACAAAGCATAAAAACAGCAAGAAAGAAGTGTCACGGAGGGAATGCCAAACAAGAGTAAAAAAGTCTTCACACAGTCCTGGGCCGGATAGCCCAGGCAAGCCTGATCTCACCAGATCTCAGAAGCTAAACAGAGCTGACCCTGGCGAGTATTTGGATGGGAGACCTCCAGAGAATACCAGGGCCGGGAGGCCAGAGGCAGGCTATTAAGCCACTTCTCTGAACGTCCTCCATGCCCCTGTTGGAGTCACCAGAGGTTGACATGACTTCCAGGCACGGGTTCGCGCACGCGCACACAAATGCAAGAATACCACCTCCCCAAAGTCTTCACCCACTGGTGGAAGACAGCGGCAGAAGGGGACAGGCGAATCTCCCTCGGGGGAGATCTCCAGAGCCTTGGTGCCACGACCGAGAAGGCCCCCTCCCAGTTTGACCCCCGCCTAATCTCAGGAGGAGAGGCCTCCGAAGCACAGTCTCTGACGATCACCACCGCGGTTGGGCAGGTTCATCGGGGAGTAAGCGCTCTTTGGCCGTGATGGGAGCAAATCCCCCCCCCGGGCTCTGAATAGCGCAACCCTCCCGTTAACAGGTAAGGAAAGTCTTAGATCCAGTATTAGCGTCAGGTTCCCACACACCTTCTTTAGTGAAAGGTTTATTCAGAGATTTGAGATGCTCATGGGTTCAGACTCTTTGTCAGAAATGAGGTGCCAAAGCGGGAAAGCCGCATATAATCATAACCCCAAAATTCCATTTATACACATCAGCAATACTACAAAGACCATGAAAGATATA